CATGCATTGTAGAATCCATTAAAATATCAATATAAACATTATGAATTTCTATCAAATTATAAAAAAGAACCTTTTATAATATAAAACGTTACGATAATATTTATCTTTTTTACAATGAATGTTTTTCAAATCCCTTTTATTAAATAAAAGATTATAAAATGAATTCTTCAATGATTATGCTTTTAAAAAAAAATGTTAAGGTTAAACAACTATGAGTAGCATTATATTCAACTTCTGCAGATCAGTTTCTCATTCTCTGGCTTATATTACCTATAAAATGTAATTGTGCAGTTCTTTATTATAATCTAAATTTAACTATAGAATGCATGCGATGCACACGTATAATAGAAAACAGCAATGCCATTGTTGAATATTGTAACATACCTTGCACTTAATAAATATAACACACAGTTACAATTGCTTTCTGAGTGTACTGACATAAGTCATTACTTGTATGTTGTCGAATACAATTTTATTGTGATTGCAAGTCTAACAAGTGGACGCCTATAAATAGTACTTCTCGCATACTGAACTATTTTGGCCCTTGCTAACAACATTACAGTCTATAAAAAATCACCGCGATGCATCTGTAATTAAATTCAGTAGTGGGCTGATTTAATCTTTCATATGTTTTAACATATGCATATGGTCATTTTCTAAATAAAGAATATGAATAGAACACATTGATTTACGCGGAATATTAGAAAACATTGTAATGCAATGAAGTGACGCTTGTTTTCCTAGAGTGCCTTTTAATTACAATTGAATTACCATAATAATTTCTGCATATCTCCGTAGCAATTACCACAGTAGATTCTTTAAAGTTCTGATCATGATAACACTCTTACTGTTTAGACTAGGAGAATTAATCTGTGAAAATTAATTAAAATTCCTATTGTATTATATATAATGGTATAGGCACTTTCTACGAGTAACTGGAGACCCTTAAAATATGTAATGCAAATTAAAGACCTGTCAATTTCCTTGCAATTAAAAACTATTTTCACATAATTCATAGAAATAACATGTCTGTTTATAACAAATTATTGGCTGATAATATTTATTGATCAATAAATGAATGAACTGTATAGAAGTATGCAACCGTGAGTGCATACAATTTTCATTATGTATTCTCTGACAGTTATGATAAAACTCCAGTAATACCTTAACGTTAGAAATTGTGTATTATGATTAATACAAAGTGCAGTTTGTGTTCTAAACAGCGTTCCTTTTGTTTCTTCATCCAATGTACATTTATTGCTCTAAATATAATTGTAAATTGATAGATTAATTGCACGAAGTGTGTTATTAGTTTTGAAAGTTATTTTGCATAATTAGCAACATTAAAACTTTTATAGAGAAAGAGGAGAATAGATTCTTATAACGAAGTAACGGAGGCTTCCATATATTAAAATTTTTCGGCGTATAAATCATTAAAAAATGATTAAAAATGCATAATAGATCCATAGATATATTATAATTTACAATATACTTTTAACTTAATACTGTAGATAAAAACAGGAATTCCATCGAAAATGCACTGCTAACTTCCATAAAACCAATTGACAAATGAATTATTCATAATATGGTTTATATGTTTGCTCCCTGTGATCTATCCCTCCTTGTTTATACATTAATAAATAATTTTTACTTATTGCTATTAGGTTTTTCTTCCACGATTTTTGTCTCATTGAATTAATACTGATTTAAAATTAATTAGACTAATATAATCTCATATTTCTGTGTTTAACGTAAGATAAAATTTTCTAGTAAAATGTATACCTTGGCATTAGATGCATAAAACTTGCTGTTCTAATGAACTATACAACTTCGATGCAATTTTGTAACTTATTATTAATTACACCTTGTTCATGGTTTTTAAGGCACCAGATACACGTGAAAAGTAACTCAACGCATGAATATATGAATCATTGCTTAAAGAAGACTGCCTTATCGTTGGAACCTAAAAATCATGAACGAGCGCTTTAATAAGTTTTTAATTTTCCACTTAACGTTTTCCATTTTGTTATAATTTTGCAACAAATGCAAGTTTTTTTATATAAAAAGAAAAATGGTATATAAAACAATATGCTTTTAAAATTAAAGTAATCACGCTCTTACAGTCAGCTTGAAATATTGTAATGAAATATAAATTTTCTATCAATTTCTAATTCATCTGTGTAAAAAAATAAATAGCAGTGCTTAATTAATAGCAAAGTACATAACAATATATATATACATAAATAAAATAACATCTAGCAACTAATATTACTAACTACATAATAGTTCATCGGTATCCTTCAGAAATAAAATCGGAAGCATTAAAGTAAAAAATTTATATGCAATTTAAAAAAAAATCATAAAGATATTTCCACTGGGAAATTGACTAGTATTTGACATGTTTTCGTTCTATTTCATTAATTATTAGTATTTCTGTACGTCTATATAATTATATGAATGTTGAACAATGATCCATGTTTTGCATTATTGGCGATAATACTTACTTTAATCTTAAGGTGTGGTTGACGTTAAAAAGGTTGGATCTACCGCGGCAACCTTTGCGGTTAAGAATGCGTGCATACAGAACAGTAGATTCTGTAGCTGAGAACATTCCAATTCCTATACATGAAAAAAATGAAAATTAATCTATGAACCTTGTTTATTTGAATTAACGTCATTGGTAGTAAATATATACCTTTGTCTCAATAGCAATACTATCAGGTTCTTGAAAGTGTAATTTCAGCCTACTCTTTCCATCATCACTGGATCCCCTCAATTGAGAAAATTTATAACGCCATACAATTTCTCCAACATCCTCGTAAGAAAGTGTAAAGCCTTGAGTCCACTCTAATGTCAATCCTGCACTTCTTCCGTTAAACGTAACAGCAAATGTTTTACTCTGTAATAAAGGCATATGTAATAAATATTTAGAAATTAGTTGTTATAATTTCAAAGAATATTTTGCTCGAACTTTTAAATGTGTAACAGCTGAACAGACTGCAGTATGCCATGCTGCTTCAACTCGTAAAAGTTCTTGTCTTGTTTCAACACTTAAATATCGCGGTGGTTTTCCCGGGCTTTGAGCTAGAAAACAATGCTGTCTTTCATCCACGTTCTCGGATTCTCTCATGACACGGAACATCGTTTGATAGACTTTAAAAGTCAAAGCGCATCGTGACCAATCACCTATATTACACTAAAAAGAAACCAAATATATATATTTTGCTTAAATATACTGTATACTTATATGCTAATTTATACTCACAGGAGGTGTTTCAAATAACAGTAAATCAGGCCCTTTCAGTGCCAAAAATCTTGGCCTATAACTCTGCCATGGCTGATTACTATTACTCACTGCTTCATTTACCCATCCCATGTACTCTATACGTTCACCCACCCCAAAATTACGATTATACAATTTCATCTAAAAATATTTAAACATGTTTTAATACTAAATTCGATAGAGTTAATCAATTAAAAAATATGAAATTTTCACCTGCAAATGCGTTAAGCCTGTAATGTTATCAGTAATATACTTTAACCATTGACTTAGAATTGCACTGTCATCACAGTGTATGACACCAGTGCGTGCACCGTTTAATCCCCTCACTTCAAATGCATTTCTCCTTAGTTTGTCAGTTCCAAAGATGTATCTTGTTACATATGCCATCATCAGTGGAACTATAAGTTTATAAAATTGTTTTGTTTATTATTAACATCTTAATATAAACAAGTAGAGATAAAAACCTGATAAAACTATCGAAACCTGTTATAACATCCACCCATTTTTTACACTGTATTAAAGTTACAGATGCATTTGAACTTTGCCGGCTATGACCACACCTGGGACTGCCACTCTGTCTATTAGGTGACAGCCATTCATCTTCCGAACCACCATTTGGAACATTATCCAACTTCTCTTCTTTTTCTGAGAGTAATGTTAAATTAATATTGCAAAGTTACAATACATCAAAATTTGTTAAACGCGTAAAGTTTCATTTACCGTTTTTTTGTAGAAATGGTTTAGCTGCTCTATAATGCTTTACAGTTAAAACAATTATGTCACCAGCATTCCTCAAAATGTTTACAGCATCATCATGATTGCATGCAGTTATATATTCTCCATTCACTGTGTTAAAATAAAATATTAATTCATATTTAATCAATTGGTATTACAATTTTTAAATAGTCAACTATGTTATACCATGTTTACACCAGGTTTCATTTAAAAATTTCAATCAAGGTCTCATAGTTTAATACAGATGGAGAAAGAGTATGCTAACTTTGTTTCAAAAGAAAAACCAATATTGACAGACCTGACACAAATAGAATAAGTATTCAATATAACTTCTATACAATACGGGTGTTTCACTGTTGTAGAACTATGCGAAAAGGATCAACAGTTACAATATAAATTTTTTTTAAATAATTTTATAAAAACTTTACACACACCTTTAATAATTGCATCTCCTACAAACAATTGGCCACACTGATCAGCTGCTTGGCCTTTATAAATTCTAGATATAAGAACAGGAAGTTTATGTTCTGCTCCCCCTTTTATACTTAATCCTAAACCTCCGACTTTCTGCCTAGTAATTTGCACCATACGTTCCTTAGCATCCAATGGTGGCTTATTATGATTCACTGCCTGCTGGAAATCAGTATTATTTATTATAAACCATTTAATTTGAAGCCATATTATAACGAAATTTAATAAATTATATCGTAATACAAATTAAATAATCAAACAAATGTCAAAAACTCAATGTAAAAACAAAAATAGTTACATTAAACATTACCTCTAAATCTTCTCTCTGAAGTTTTAAAACTTCCATAGACAAATGCAAGCGCATTGGTATTGGCTTGCTCTTTCCATCGCTAACGCTTACCATCCCACTCCTCACCTTTGTAAAAGATAATAGTAACTTGTATGTTTTTTTATATGAGAAAATATATTATACTATATGTTCCTACATTCTACAATGTTTTATAATTACAATTAAAGATAAAAATTATGTTAGTGATTTAATTTCTATATAAAAATAATTTCTTATAATATTTATTTATTAATTATGGCTTGAGAACGTACATATACAATACTTTTTACTTCTCATAACGTTTTTAGTACACCAGCCAAGTTTGTCGCATTAATTACGAAACACCTTACATATGTATACAATCAAATACAAAATTTTGTAATACGTTTGATATTAAAATAATTTATATCATATTTTCAATCCGGTATTATCGACTATTTCAGTTCTCGACTTTTTTTCATTTTACGATCAAAATAAATCGAGTTATTACATCGTATTTTTAAAATGATATAAAATGACGTACTAATATTAGGTCTCGATGTATCAATAATTCACTTCCGAAGGACCTAATTCTCTGCGGTATTATCTTTCTCATCTGATTCAGAGACACAAATAAAAGTACGAGATTTTAAATGCAGGTTAATTAAAAAATCTAAATTAATTCGAATCATCAAGCAACGCAGTAGCGTATATCATGATCTTGTCCGGCTGTCATTCAAATTTTTATAGTAATTATAAAATTACGGATTTTATATATTTACTTAATGTTTTGTATGCTTATATATCAATTAACTTTTACGAGTTATTTTTTTTTAGAATTAATATAATGTTTAATTGAAGTGCACAATTTTTTTTATTGTAATTTCTATTAATCCGTTGATAAATCTAGGTATATATAAATATCCATAATCCATCAGTTACAATATCGACAAGAGTCTTTCAATGTTTAAAATTCATAATTCCTAAGCAAATTTTAAGTAGCAATAAAATGTGACAATCGAAAAAATTATTCATACACCATTACTCTTGTTTTTTATTGACAATATAATTTTCACTATGTCAATTGCAATAAAAATTTACATAAGCTTCTAATATCATAACGAGCTAAAGTTTTTGCGAAACAGGCCAATGCAAATGATTTTTAATACTGTGTTACACGGTGGACAATATTAACAATTGAAACCAAAGGTCAAAGGTGTACGAATAACTTTCTTCCCTCGCTATACATTGCGACGTTGACGCTGTCGACTAGAACACTTGAATTCCGAAGAATTGATTTGTATTCAATTTCCAACGTTAAAAACGGCGAGAGAAAGATTGCTTTGGATCCTCACCTTCAACTTCTGGTCAATCTTCTCCTCGATCGGAGTGCTCATTTTCGTCGCGTTGATTCTCATTATTTAACCCGATTATACGGTCCGCGAAAACAGCTCCCCGTATTGCCAGCCGCGAATCACCGGGCCCGAGAAAATTTCGGTTCTCCTCGACACCGCGGATTGCATGTTAGTTTCATACGGATCGTCCAACACGACTGTGGCCGCTGTTCGAAAACAGTAAGATCATAGCCACGATCTCTTTTCGAAAACGAAAAGAAAAAGGAGAACGCACCGACTTATACCGGAATCGAATATAGATATTTCACGACGCGGCGGCACGCTCATACGGAATTAAAGTCGCGGGGTACAGCGCATCGTGACGCTTCGAGATGTTACGGAGGAAACGAAAAGCTCGAACCGGGACGCAGAAGAATTGGAGTGGGCTAAAAGTAGCTAAAAGCCCGCGGCCGAAGCGCATCGATTTACTGGATACGTCGCGCACCGATGCTGTCTCGTTTTCTTTCCGATCGCGGGAAACATGAACTGAATGTCATTCCCTTGGAAACGCAAGTTATTCAGTGGTCTTATTGAGTCAGATTATAAATAACTTCTGTTCTCTTTCTGGAAATCTACTCTAATCTATAATATTTTCTGGATAGACTGTGGATGTTTATACAAATTTACAATTTTATTAGTCGTATTGTTTTCGTACAATAAAACAGTATACTCCTTGTATGAAATCTACATGATACATAATTATGGAAAAATCTCCTACTGAGAATAAAGAACGAGATAATTTTATATTATTTTCTTTAACATTTAGAACAATTATTATCAATTTTATTTACCATAATTTACATTTATTCGTTTATATTAAAAAAAAATAATATTTTATAACATTTTTACAATAATTGTAAGAATATAACCATAGAACTACTATATGTTTATACAAGATTTCTTATAGGATTTTCTTTGCATCTGTGCAATCCTATTGAACTGTTGTAGAAGTAATGTGCGATTATTGGCATTAATAATTAAACTATGACTGGCTTCATTAGAGATAAATTTTTTTAAATAAATATAAATATTCGTTCCTAATTCGAATTATTATTAAAACATGATTTGTTTAAAGAAATCATAAGATGCATTTATCACTCCCCAGCTAATAAATGATCTTATACAATTCAAATGCACACCTTTATAAAATGACATTATACTTCTATTTCTCGCTATATATATTTCATGTGTAACAGTCATAAACTTCTCAAAGTTACCACCTATTTTTGATTGCATATGTATTTTTATTACATTCATTGGATAAAATACGGTACTTGTGAAGCCACCAATTAAAGCACCATTAATGAAACTTGTTACCAACGATTCCTGGTCACCCATTAATCGTTTTGATTGTTCTCTTAAAATAAAGAACGTAAGATTAGAACAAGTATTCCTATATATAATTGGAACTAAACCACGATAGCATTCCGATATACCATAATTTTTCAATAAATATTTAAATGCATGAGAAGTATTCTTAAATTTATCATGGTACCGCCAATCTTGTAGCAGTGTTTGTACTCTTTCGAGTGGCATAAGTATAGCTTCAGCAGTTCCAGCAAAGTGGGCTGCTAATATTCTAATTAATACATCATTGCTTGTTAACATGTACAGACGTTCTTTACATCCTTCATACATACTGAACATTACACTAAGAGATAAAGTTTTTTGGCAAAGAGGTGGTAAAATTCCACGGTACAACAATCGTATGCCTTCTTTGGATAATTGTTTGAAAGCAGTATTGGCTGGTACGTCTTCCAAAATCTGTATAATGATAACAAAGAAATTGATGTTCTTATTATATGTACAAAATTATTGCTAAAGACATTAATCAATAGTTATTTTACATACCTGTCTAAATATAATTTTATTAATAGGAAAGGTAATGGATACATTAATAACAGCAGCCCCCCAGCCACAAACAAATTCTTTAAAATCATTATTGTTTAAAGCTAATAATGATCTTAATGAAACATCTTGCGAAGTAACATTACTCATTTTAATATTTTGTAGAATAGTTTATTTACACAGAACTACAATTTAGAACAGCCAATCATGTTTACTTCTCTTCTATATCATCCTCTCCAAATCATTCGGATCAAATAAATTATTTACCTGTAATGATTAAATCATTTATATTTTCCATAAATTAAAATATTTATAATGCAACACAAATTTTTACAGCGAATGATAACCGTTTACAAGAAAAAAAACACAAATAAAGAATCGATAATAGTACTAAATATCATCCAAGTATTATGATAGTAATATTAAATAAATTATTTAGGTAAATTTCGCATAAACAAAAAAATTAATTGCACTTTGTATATTAGTCTTAAAATATATTTATTTAAATTCATTTAACAAAACAATGTAAATATTCTGTGTAAAATGTAAATTGTTGTATGCGCTGAACAATAATTAAATAAATAAAACTCAATATGTAAAACATGTTATCGTTGGCCGCATTATGTAACTTTCATTTAGTGAGAATTTATTACACGTTGCAAATATAATATAATCTTAGAAATGTTCAATTCACGTCTTGTGCGATTCATGACTCAACCCATATTCCCCGTTCACATATGTTTCAAATTAAATTTCATTATCGTATTTTTCAATTCATTGAACTTTCATATTCCTTTGTAAATTAACAGGAGCAGTACTTAACACACACATTTTGTTTTACTGTCTAGATTTTAAGGTTCTATTTTGCAAAACTAGATGACAGTAAAACCGATTAGAATATCAAGTATAAACCAATCAAAACGCTCGGATCTTACGGAAAGAACATGTCAATTTTTACATGATACAGATATGATGTTTATTTAAAAAAAGAAAAACTTACAGCTTTGTTCAATTTCTTCTGTTAATTCTATCTGTATCTTCAGTTCAAATGAATTTTGAGTAAAATGACAGGTAGAATATTTCAATGCTTTCTACCGTTCGAATCACGAACCACGAATTAAATTATAAAACAAAAGAACCATTTAAACGACTTGTATTACAACATTTCTAGTAGTAGTATGTTATGAATAAACAAAGATATAGAAAGTATGTTAATTCTTGAGAATAGCTTTTTTTCTTGCGTATTATATTCAGCTTGACTGAATATTTTTTTTGGTGGCGCTGGTTTAATTATAAAGAAATCTAGTTCAACATTATAGTTTATTAAGGATATTTCCTGTAAGATTTTTATGCAACTACGTAATTTGTAATTACATAAAGCAAATTGGAGCTAACCATTAATTGACTAGATTATTTTGTATATATATATACAAATGATATAAAAGACGCAATTATTTGTGGATCATTTATAAATTAACACGATTTTTCGTGATCTCATGTAGTGACAACTGACTAAATAGTACAAGAACTTTGCCCCACTTCTATACCTACATTGTATTGAATCGGTCCGTGAGTCTGAAAGTTTTAGTTCTATCGTTTCAAACGTGGAAACATTCTCTCTCGTTTGTCTTTTAAATATCTGTTGGTTTCAATTAACCTCAGAATGCTGCGAATTGCAAATTTTGTTACTAAAAAACCCCGAAGATTTTTGCAGATCATCGACTCAAATGTCAAGTAAATTATTTTTATATAAGAATACTATATTTGAACACCAATTACATACAACATATTGCAATACGTTCAACTGTTAATGATCAACTGTCAAAAATATAGACGTGTATTTAATTAACATACATTTGAATTTTTGTAATCGTTTAAGCTTCAGGTTTATTGACAGATGTAACTAGTGAATCGTTAAAGGTATTTATTAATTTGATAGTTCAGACATCTGTGTTGATATCAGATTTATCAGTTGAACGGACTTTGATCAATGACATACATAAATAAACTTATAAGTATTATTTGTTTTGTATACTTTTATTTATATTGTTATGGTACAACATACAATTGAATATTAAATATGAATGAATAAATAGGTGAAATGTCTTTGCAATGTTATTTGCTTTAGATGTTTAGCGACACAAGCAGCTGTGAAAAATGCATCAGAAGAAAAAACAGAAAAGGGGGCAGCAACAAAAGAATCTCAATCCTTTACTATGAATAGTTTTCGAGGTCAGTTGCAATCTAGCCAAGTATTTCCTTTCCCAGAACCATTAACTGAAGAGGAAACTGATACATTAAAACTTTTAATTGATCCCATGGAAAAATTTTATGAGGTATAAATGTTTGTATATGAAAAATGCTATTCTATTATTTTCATAGAAATTAATTTTATTTAAATTTATATTTCAAGGAAATTAATGATCCGATGAAAAATGATGAAAACGAATTCATAGATGAAAAAACCATGGCTGCAATGTGGGAAATGGGTGCGTTTTCTCTTCAAGTCCCACAAGAATATGGAGGTTTAGGATTAAATAACACTCAATATTGCAGATGTGTAGAAATTTGTGGGTACCATGATTTAGGTGTTGGTATTACTTTAGGAGGACATCAAAGTATAGGTTTTAAGGTATACATTTTTCTCATGCCCCTTTATTGAGCTCTAAGTTTAATATAGTTTTATGTTATCCTAAAAGTTTAGATTTCTTCTTTTTCTTATTATTAACTTGATGTTTAAGGATTTTTATTCAAGTCTTTGTTTCAAATGCAGGGTATACTTTTATTTGGTACACCAGACCAGAAACAAAAATATCTTCCAAGAGTATGTAATGGAGATGTGGCAGCATTTTGTTTGACCGAACCAAGTTGTGGTTCAGATGCTGGTTCGATTCATTCTCGAGCAGTCAAATCTGAAGATGGATCACATTATATATTAAATGGAAGCAAAATCTGGATAACAAATGGCGGTATAGCAGAAATAATGACAGTGTTTGCACAAGTTCCTGTAAAAGATCCGATTACTGGAAAAACAAAAGATAAAGTTACTGGATTTATTGTTGAAAGATCATTTGGTGGTGTAACAAGTGGAAAGCCAGAAAAGAAGATGGGTATTAAATGTAGTAATACTGCTGAAATACATTTCGATAATGTTAAAATACCCGCAGAAAATGTGTTAAGCAAAGAAGGTCAAGGTTTTAAGGTATTAATTATCATAATTAATACTTACAAACTATTAGATACATTTGCCATACATTATATGCTCTTTCAGGTTGCAATGACTATTTTAAACAATGGTCGATTTGGTATGGTGTCTGCTCTTTCTGGTACCATGCGTTACTGTATTAAAAAAGCTGTTGATCATGCGACACAGCGTGTGCAATTCGGACGCACGATACATAATTATGGAAGTATCCAAGAAAAATTAGGCCGTATGGCAATGTTACAATATGTAACGGAATCTCTTGCATATACACTTTGTGGCAATATGGATTGTGGAAGTCAGGATTACCACCTAGAGGCTGCGATATCTAAAGTATAATTTATTGAATAAATCAAAGATTAATTATATCATTATACTATACTGAGTGTCATATAATATTTAATGTAACTTTCTCACAGTGTTTTGCATCAGAATCCGCGTGGTGGGTTTGCGACGAAGCTATTCAAATATTAGGTGGAATGGGATATATGAGAGAGGCTGGTCTCGAACGTATTATGCGAGATTTACGTGTGTTCAGAATCTTTGAAGGAACTAATGATATTCTCCGTTTATTTGTCGCGCTTACTGGAATACAATATGCGGGAAGTCATTTGAAAGAATTACAAAAAGCATTTAAAAATCCTGCTGCCAATTTGGGATTGATTCTTGAGGAAGCAACAAAAAGGGCAACACGAGTAATTGGTTTAGAATCTGCGCCTAATTTTAGCCATTTAGTTCATCCAACTTTACGAGAAAGCGCTGCAATGTGCGCCAGGGTTCGTATCTTTCTTCATAATGTCAATAGCTCTGTGAATACTAAATGATAGCTTGCTTTTATAGTTATAGCTATTATCAATCCGAATTGAGTATTAATTGATAATTAATTATTTATAGAATATGCAAAATTTTGGTCAATGTATAGAATCTGTTCTCATCAAATACGGACATAAAGTTGTAGATGAACAATTTGTTCTCAATAGAATAGCACAATCAGCTTCTGACATATTCACTATGGCTGTCGTATTGAGCAGAGCAACAATGGCTGCTAATAAAAATCTCCCAACTGCAGAACATGAATTGCTTTTAGCTGAGATTTGGTGTAATGAAGTAAGAACAGTCGTCTGTTTTTCTAATTTTACTGTTTCAATAAATTGTTATTGTATTAACACTTTTTAATTGCATTGCAGGCATCTCATCGTGTGGCAAATAACATAGGTGTAATTTTTTCTAATAAACAATTAGACGTATTCCAAAAAATAAGTAAAGTTTCGAGAAACACGTGCGATCATGGCGGATGCGTTCAGCTAAATCCTCTAGGGTTTTAATTACATAAAAAATGATTAATGTTATAAAATGAATGCTACGGATAACTAACTCATACATAGGCTAGAAAATTGAATGATTGTGTGCCTGAAATTCGGAAGTCGTAATTCGTATTTTAAATACTTTAATAAGTAACGAGCAATGCAATGTGTAATATAATATTGGAGATATTATATATAAATTTATAATTACGCATGTAAAATATTTTTCTTATTTTTACACGAGAAAATAATGGTAAATAAAATTGTTACAGATAATACTATACATATGAAGATAGATGCTGTTTATTTTTCGTTAATCCTCACAGAATAATGAAATCAGTTTCGAATAATGTACAGGATATTCATGTCCCTTTTATATAATAAATTAAATTAAATTAAATCTAAATCAAAGAACCATATTCACTTACCCATTTTTCTTTATCATCATTTTTTACACAAAATATTCGATGAAATTATCACTATTCATTTTGTTTGCACTTTGAAGATTTTGTTATTAAATACAAGAAAACAAGTATTGTAAATATTTTTTAAAGTTCTAATTAATATTAATTTTCAAATACTTTCTTTTAATTGCAATATATAAATGCATAATTTAACAATATCACAACGTTACGCAAAGTAAGGACATATTTTATGATCATTTTACATCCGTCTATAACATAGATTGGGAACTGGTGGCCCGCGGACCATTTCACCTCTTTCGCTGTTTCGCTGGGCGACCCCCCTTTAATATCTACTAGGTTTTGACGATCGCAGTCGAATTTCTCCTCTTCTAATCACCATTACACTCACATATACTTGTAATTAGTTGATGCCACTACGGCTACGGTACAAGCTTAGTAGATGATATGGAGGAGGGCACTTAGTGAAACATTAAAAAACAAGTGACGCGCAGATCACCAGTTCCCCATTTATGATCTATAACATGGAAGCACACAGAATATTTGTATAGCCATTGTATGATTGAACTTTTACAGCATCCATAAAAGACAGAGATAACATTAAGTGTAGAATAAATTACATGCAGAAACATAGAATTGTGTAATTCGCATCCTTTAAAAGTACTTCTTAAGTTTGAGATTCAAACTATCATTTCTTTAAAGTCTATAAATGAACAAAAAAATTATTTCTTAGGTTCGATGTATTTGTTTCGATAAAAAGATAAATAAATAAATAAAAATACCATTTGATGACGCTGGTAAGATTCGAAATTTTTAATTTTGTAAAAGCAACTATCACTTAATCGTGAGTTATCGTTGAAGAATTTTTTAATGATATATTGGCAGTGTTTTGTTCCAATTTGCAATAACCAACTATACAAACAATTTGATTCTCAAACTTTAAGCTGTCTAAAACACTTAACATGTATATTCAATATCGTTTCAAGTAAATAAAGTAAGATTGTATGAAAACTATTCTCACAAGGTATAATTTTATTCTTAAATGTCTGAAACACGAAATTGGAAAGAATCAATCTACTGTCGCTGATAGATATAACCGTGATCCATAACTTTCCAGAAAAATAGAA